GAGCGATAAAACTGATATCACCGAATCCCGAGTACGATAACCTATTTATTATATACTTGTACCTTTATCAGGGTTTGACACCCAAAAGTAAACAGTTTTGAAAAAATAGGATCATTTTAGAATTCAAAACAATTCATCATTTACTGAACAAATATGATTTTAGAAGATAAATAGACCATTCAAATAAATAATATACAATTTAAATCTTTCATTTTGTATTATCGTTGTGTTTTCTTCGATAAACTGTCGACATCAACCAACACGAACCTCGAGTCGGCCATCTTTGTTTTGACAACGCGCGAAATTTAGCACAACAAAAAACGATATCCGGGACAAAAAACGATATCCGGGACAAAAAACGATATCCGGGACGATATCGTTTTTATGTCCCGCTGCTTCCTACCTGATAAAGGTACAAGTATGTGATAAATATATATATATATATATATATATATTCGAAGGTTAAACTTTTCTGGATCCAGGATATATATATATATATATATATATATATATATATATATATATATATATATATATATATATATATATATATATATATATATATATATATATATGTTGAGTTGTGTAATTGTACACTCCGTAATATATTAAGTGTCTTTCGGCAAAATGTCCGGCCACCGAAAATCAACCCCCGACACCTAAAAATACAAAACGTTTCTGGGCCAGACAAGTTCCACTTTTCTCTTTCTTTTGATGACCCCTACACTGACAAGTTCTTAAAAGAGGCTCTGAATACACGACCATATCATGGAAACTGCCTGACCACCGAGGATCAACATTCAAAACTATACCTCTCCTATATTGCGTACTGATTTACATTGATTGCGTATTTCATCTTGTAACTAAAATGATCGACCGTGCGGGTTTTCTTGAGACTGTGCAATGCATGGGGATGTGTGTACCATCCACACAATCAAATGCTATTTATTTTCCTTTTGGTTAATCAATTGACTCATTTCCTGTTCTGATGAAGGAAGTGGGAAAAGGTCAGGCTTTTCAATCAAAACATATATGACCACTATATTGGTAATTTTGTTCGCTTTGCATTTAAGCAGCGATCAAAAATCTTTATATTACTGTTTTACTTTGACTGGGGTGAGGGGGGGGGGGGGTTAGCTCTTAAATTTACTGGTTGCATGCATAGAGATTATTTGAAAAATATTATTTTCAAATTTATATAATATAAAAGTTTTAGAGATATATAGTATAGAAATTTAACTGTACATGTTGTACTTGTCTTTCTCACAGGCGAAGCCATCAATATCTGTCCCACAAAGGAGATTACAGCATCCATGGGACAGATTAGGTCGCCTAACTATCCAAGCAACTACTGCTCACACACTGATTGTACCCTCACAATCAAACAGCCCTTGGACAGAAACTTTACTTTCACTTTCACCAAGCTTGATATTGAGAGTGATCATAATGACGGTAGGTAACATAATTTATGTTAAACTTTATGGCATGTTTTAAATCTGCGCAGCTAATTGGGAAACTCCGACGACTGAGATTTGCATGTAATTGTTAATGCTGATAAAATCATTGGGCATATATTGCCCAAGGATAAATTGATTAATTTCGATTAAATTTGAATGAAGATTGGATGAGAAATAAGCAACTGTTTTCCAGGCCTAGTAAACTATGCACTGTACATAATCTGACGGAGTTATGCAGTCTCTGAGTGCCCTCTAGTTTACATATTATTATTTATTTAATATATACAATATCCACTCACTTACTTTACAGAATTCAACTGTCATGATTACCTCATTATATCTGGAGGTTCATCAAAAAAATTCTGTGGCACCACCACTCCAGTGCCATTTGTACTTGGCCTGAATGTCGTCACACTGAGAATGGTAACAGATGGTAGTATTGAACAAAGCGGTTTTGATCTCAATTTCACCACCGTTCAGAGTAAGCAATATTTTAGGTGTGATCAGGGGCGGCAGAGGGAAATAAGGCGTCAGAAGACTTTTCTTAAATTGGGAGGGAGGGCGCCAAAAAACTCCCAGTTCCTATATTAAAGTGACCCTCGACTGCAACCTCCTTCCCAGGGCTTTCGTATGAGGACGAGGGCAGAGACAAGAAAGCCCTGGTCTGGGCCGGTTAATTTTGCATTATGATTGACTAACACCATACTGTCTAAAAATAACTGAACTTGACAGTTGACAATAACAATTCAACATTTGTATTTTTATGATTCTTGTGTGGACGAGTATGTTTTGCAAAATAATCTTTCAAAGTAAGACGTTTTCCCGACTGCATAATTTACTTTCGCCTCGGCCGGTTACAAAACTCGAAAGCCGTGTCGACGTGAGCTGAGCTGAGACGTGAGCCTGACAAAACAAGAAACGTCTACTATTATCTAAGCTGTAATTTTCTTGTACAGTATTTATATAAATGTAGTGCAGATGTCTACGCGTATTTCATTGTAGTCCTAGTCCCCGAGCCGACGGTGCGAAGCCCCGTGCGAGGGTACTAATTCCCCCCGGCTATTTACATCCGGAAAAACGAAAGCATTAGCGAAGTCTAAAGTTCATCAATTATCGCGGGCGTGGGTCACCAAGGAGGCGGACTGTCATGAATGGCGGACACTGATTGGTCAAATTTAAATTTTGCATTATAACGACTGCATGACGACAGCGAAATAGCAAGCATTTCTTGATTTGATGATTAAATTGATAAATTTCTTGCAAATATATTTCATTTTTGCTCGCATTTTGGCAAGATTTTGTAAATTTCAATAGGTTTCTCAGAAAGAAAGGGCCAAAGAATCGGCTAAAAGAAGGGAGCCGACATTAACTAAGGTAAGTTTGTTTTAAATATTGATTTTAGAATGACTTTAAGACCCGACAGCCTTTGTGTGTATGAAACAACTATTACAAGACAGGATATAATTTCAGTGTATCTTTAATAAAATTGATTCCCTTTTTATTATATTGATTTTTTTAAATAAAAAAGAAAGCAAAGTCATTTGCAAGCGAGAATTTGAAATCATTTTATTGCAAACTCAAAGTTTATCGATAAAGCCATTTAATTAAAGCCAGGCAGTTTAGTTATATAAAGAACACTTTAAAACGTTTTGCGAAGCGTTTGTGGTTGAATTTCACCTTAAATTAAAGCTTATATTACGTATAATAAACATACCTAACATATATATGTTGGGAAATTGATAATTCTGTAATTAAAAGTGATATTTTTAGGCGATTTTTCATTTGTAAGAATATTCTTAAAAATTATCGTGCTACCATGACAACTACTTTAGATACTTCATGTTCGGAAAATACAATGGTTTTGTCAGCAAGGCGAGGGTTTCTGCATGGATGTATTTTCTAGTACTATTTTATACTGACAATAAAAGCAAGACAAACAATTCAATGAAACTACTAAATTAATTTAGGCCCTGTTTACCTAGTAGCTTTACGCCTAGGCCGATGTAGTCTCTACAAGATTCGTCACGTGACCGAGTTTTACAGTTCCAGAATACCCCGAATACTTGAAAATTGCGATTATACGATAAAATAAAACAAAGAGTGTGAAGGGGATAAAATTTGTAGGCAAGCATTGCATTGAACGGCAAGTGTTGGTGTCCGGCGAAACAAGGGAATCCGTATTTTTCTGTACAGCGTAAATAGGTTACGCGAGGTTTTATATTTGTGTTTATTTATATCGAACTAAGTCAGCTATATAAGAGCATATTTAGAAACTAAGTATTAAAGGCAATAGCCATATTGTTCAAGACAACATACGGAGTCTTCAGAGATTTCAGCTGATTCGTGCCAAACTTCGCTACACATAAATAATATCGATTGAGAAGTCTTTTGGCTGTTTATTATTTCATTAAAGAATATCTCGCCACTCCTTGACGACTAGCTGTCAAATACTGCCATTTTTGGGGTAGCTACGTGACCATCCTAGACCAGGGCTTTCTCGTCACTCCCCTCGTCCTCATACGAAAGCCCTGGGATCGAGGTTGCCTTGGCTGTTGATATATTGAGGTGGCCGGAAATTGCAGAGAAAAATGGTCATGTCGCAGAGCATTAATTACATGACATTGAGGGCTTAGTCAAGAATTCCCGGCGCTTTTGTTTTGCTTTATTCTCACTTATTTGTGGAGACCAGTGTTGTAAAAATTACCCAAAAGCTAATGAGTAAAAATTGTTTCTCCGGAAAAGTAATTATTATAAATCAAATCTTAATTTCTTCAAAAGTTCTTATTCTTATTCTTATTATTCTTATTAATCAATTGATAATTTACATATCAAGTGTTACAAAACAATTTTGAAATATATTACAGGTTTTTAACATTAAAAATTTTTAGGTTATATTAAAATTGCAAAGCTAAATTATATCTAAAAATACATGTATTGATAAAACTATTTTTAAAACGATCGGTAGAAATGTTTGGTCACTGTGCCTCTTGTGTTCTAAGTTTAACTGTATATTCTTTCATTTTTGAACAGATTTCTCTTAACGGATGATTGTTTTGTGTACACAGCTTTTCAAACAGCTTTCTATCTGTCTGTTCTAACAGTATATTAATATATATTTGTTCAAATGTGTATCTTACGGATATCGAATACAATTAATGAAAAGAAACTTTGATTTACAAATACTAGAGTTTAATCTAGGTTATACCAATAAACGGAAAATTTAAAAAAACTTGAAGGAATGACTATCCTGTGGATTGCGCTCTTTCATCCCTTCGTGCAATTTATTGGCATGGAAAAATACATCTATATATCAAATAGTAATACCTATCACAAAATAGTATGCCAAAGATATATTTCACTTTTTGCTACATCCTGTGTAAATAGAATATTCCTATCCTTATTTTTTCTAGCAACTGGTTTACCCCCAGCAGTGAGTGTGTGTCCGACCAGGTCAATCACCCCCAGTGCTATTGGTCGTGTCCATTCCCCTGGATTCCCTAATAACTATGGCGCCAATCTGAACTGTAAGCTTACCTTGGACGTGCCTTCAAAAAAGGCAGTTGAAATTTCCTACAACTTTTACCATATTGGATGTAAGTAGAACCGTAATTTATGTATAGGTTATTTTGAGGCAACGAGGGGATATGTGATTTATTCACCGAGGCGCCTAGCGCCGAGGTGAATAAACACATATGCCCGAGGTGCCTCAAAATAACGTACTTATTTCTCACACTGCGAGGTCGCGTTAATGAGTCAGAATAGAAATAATTCTTAATGCCATATTGCCTTCGTTATGTTGTTTTTTTTCTCATTTTTTGTGCTGCAGAGACATTGCAGGTGAATATTAGAGGGGATTATTAATTGCAGGTGAATATTAGAGGGGATTATTAAACGGAAATTGATTAGAGGGGAATATTGAATATATTCCCCGATAAGAACAGAGGAAACCGAGCAGGGTGAAAAATAAGCTAGTGAATGATATTTCCAACTTCAGTATATGTGAATGATATTTCCAACCTATATATGTGAGGGAAAAACCTTACTAAACTGATTCAGATTACAAACCAAGAGCTCAGTGTTATATATACCCCCCACAATTAATTTTTGGCCCTCCCCATTTTGCCCCTCCCCCCCGAAAAAATATTATTAGTCACTAAGAGCGACTAAAGGCTACACAAGCGTTTTGGAGTTTTTTTCGGAAAATGTATGGCTTATAAGTTGTCATTACTCATTAGTGAATGCGCGCATATATGAAACTGTTTTTACAGTTTCAAGATTAGTTTGTAAATCACTGAATGGTAAAACTTGCCAATACTCCAATAATACGTTTCAAAAAAGACAAAAAAGCTTTAGTTTTGCAGAGTTAAATTCTCAAACGTGTAAGGCACTAATAAGATGAAAGTATCACGAACTTATTTGAATAAACCACATCGCATATATGGGGGAGAAGGCGAATATCCTAAAGGGGGCGATATTCCCTCGCCCCCCTTTTGTGAGGGGGGAATCTCCTGGGGGGAGAGAAGGGGGAATCTCCTGGGTGGAGACCTTTTTAAACTCTCTAATCTCCCCCCACTCCAAAATAAAATATATATGAGTTTGCCCCTCAAATCCCCTCCCCCCCAATTATGAGGCTAGCGCCGCCACTGCACCTGGTTTAAATCAAACAAACTTTTGTTAACTCTGAAGAAAACTAAATGTATTATTTTCTGTGCTAGAAACAAGCACTATACAAAAACAACTGCATGATATTAAGGTAGATAACAAACTCATCGAACAGGCTAGTTCCGTAACATTCCTTGGTGTTCATATTCATGAAAATCTTGATTAGAAGTCACATATCAATAGCGTTTCTCTAAAAATGTCAAAATCAATTGGTGTTATAAATAATATTAAGTCATTAATTTAATTTCAGCCACAGCACGTCGATCACAATACTGCACGCTTGTTTTTACCATAAAAACAATATCGTAACATTATCTGGGCTAAAACATATAGTACAAATCTAGGAAAAAATTTTTAAACTGCAAAAACATACTGATACGAATAATTGCTAACGTTGGATTCAGAGATCACACAAAGTCCTTATGTTTTAAGCTGAAATTATTGACTGTTTGTGACATAAATAAATACAAAACTGGAGCCTTTAAATTTAGATGCATTAACTAGTAACTACCCTCGTACTCTTCCACCGATCTTCCAAACCTATACTTTGTTCATAATGATCAAATTCACAACTATATAATACCAGAACTGCCAGCAAACTACTTGTCACTCAAGTAAGAACCACAACTAGAAAAATGCCCCTAAGACGTACAAAACGGGACCATATTCGGGAATTCGCTTGATGACAATGTCACTCTGTCAAAAACATTAAAATCATTTCAAAAAAAGCTCAAATATTTATTAATATTTGATGAAACGAAGAAAAGCTGAGTTAATTGGTTTATATTGGATAAGAAACCCTGCTAAATTTCTACTCGACCTTCGTAAAATTGGTGATTGGCATTCTCTACAAACTCCCTGGAATTTCTTCTACCAATCTTCATCCATATTACCTTTTACTCTTTCCTTCTATTTTATAAGTACTGTTTAATAAATGAGAAGGATTGTTTTATTACGTTTAAAGCAACGAGCGCCCAGGGCGAGTGGCTTTAGACCTAATAAAACTTGTCATATCTTAGCTTGGTCTGTTTCTGTTGAATATCGGTCAGGTCGATTGCAATTCAAACAATGGATAATGAAACTTTTGTCATTTCATTATGTATTGTCTTAATTGCATTCGACGCGACCAAAATTCGACGTATAAAGTAAGCCTAACATGCTTTTCTTTACATGATAATAATTATGAATATTTGCGTGGTTTATTGAAGTGAAATTTACCAATTTTAGTCATAAAGGGGGTTAATTTTAAATGGTTTTAGACCCAACTCTCAACGGTGAGAATATGCGATTCTGACTATAACATTTTTCTATCGGATTCGTATTAACATTTTGCTCATTTTTTATCCATTTGACATGAAGAACATAATCATTCAACTACTAAAAGCCTAGTCTTTCCAAATATGAAAAATTCTCTGTCATACGCAGAGTAATTCAAATGTAATAGAGCGTTGAAGTTCGATTATCTTTTTGTGATACCCTGTATATATCCGCCCGGCCCGGAATAGTCTCGTTATTCTAATATTAACGTTCTAGTCAAGCATAACTAATCAAACTATGATCATATGGGTGGTGTCACGTAACGAAGTAAATGTACTTCGTTACTGTACTTGAATATTGTTTTTGAGAAGTCAGCATGTAACAAAGTATACTTTCTCTGGAGTACTTTTACTTGGAACGAAGTCGTTTTAAGAAGTAAAGTTTTACTTCGTCATTTTCATTTTGTAGCGAAGTATTTCGTTACTTTCTAACTTTTGTTTAATTTTACGTGATTTATTTCGGAATTCTCTTAATTTTGGGATGGGTAATGGGACCTCTACATGCGTCTGGGATCTCTCGTTTGTGGCTTACTTATAAGCATTATCTATTTAATTAATGGATTTCTTATACCTTCAACGGGGTCCGGAAAGTACATCATGTCGTGAAATATTGTATATATTAGGTGCACACATATAATGCATGTGTTGTTTTGTGTCTTTTCAAAGTTAATCCATTGGAGAAGTCCCCCCTCCCCCTACACGCTACAGACAATAGTACTTTACTTTTAATTTTCACTTCAAGTATTTTTTAAGGATACTTTGTACTTTTTAGTAAATTGTAATCTGCATAGTGGGTAAGTCGCGGTGTGTAAACATTCAGTACTTTTATAGTCACGATTAAAATCGTAGTATATAAGTTGTTATAACTAATTTGTTATTACCTGTTCTTTATCTGTATTTATATTTAACGTCTTTTTAGGGGTTAGGTGTCAACTGGGACGAGAGTCCTGTTCCTTTCCCCTGTCACGATTTGTCTAATCTGTCTTTATTTGTCTTTAATTAGTTTGTATTATGTATAAAGTGACAAATTCATTATATTATTATTATTATTATATTAACAAAGTTTTGAACAAATTTTGTAAACTTTTTTTATCGTGAAGTTACAGCAGGCAATGGCAGATATTCATCAAGTAGTTAGTAACACCGTTCTTGTTCTTGTTTTTGTTTTTGTTCTTGTTCTTGTTCTTGTTCTTGTTCTTGTTCCTGTTCCTGTTCCTGTTCCTGTTCCTGTTCCTGTTCCTGTTCCTGTTCCTGTTCCTGTTCCTGTTCCTGTTCCTGTTTCTGTTTCTGTTTCTGTTCCTGTTCCTGTTCTTATTCTTGATATTGTTGTGGATAGTGTTGTTGTTTCTGATGTTGCTGTTGCGGTTGTTGTACCTGTTGCTAATGTTGTGATGCTGTTTTAGTGGATGTTGTTGTTCCTGTTATTGCAACTGCTGCTTTGTTGGGCATTTTGTTGTTCAATTGCAAGCTGTTACAATTGTTAATGCCGTTTTTGTTGTTTTAATTATTTTAGGTGATGTTGCTTCCATGTTGGTAGCTGTGGTTGTTACTCAATCTAACGGTACAAACGAACTAATATTTTAAATATTCTGTTCATAGACAAAACCACTCAGTGCTCGAAAGACAATTTGACGGTTGCGGACAACAGTGGTCATAGCCACACAATATGTGGCCATGCGTCATCTGCAGGCTGCCGGGATACCTACAATGATAGTGATGTCTCATTTCATTTTACAACTGACGGGAGTGGCTCTGGAAACGGATTTCTGTTGACCTACAAACTGATTGACAAACCAACCTCGAGTAAGTACGATCAGTGACAAACTAAGCGGCATTACAGTAATTATTGCGGAAACCATTTTCGGGCTTCCATTTATAACAGTGTTTCTACACTGAAGGATTATCAACCTGTTTAAAGAATTTCAATTTAGCGCGATATACAAAAAGTGTGTTTATTAAGTATTACAGTATTGCGGCGGAACAGGTTTTGTTGTTGGTTTTTTTGTGTTTTTTTTTTTGGGGGGGGGATGGTGAACAAACTATCCGCCATATTGCGCACGGAACTTTTCGGATAAGTACAAACACGCCACAGAAGACATCCAATTGTTAAAGAAGATACAACAGTCACAGTAGTAGGCCAGTAACGTAGGAAGGTATTTAATCTCAGGAGGGCTGAGAACTAGGTGATTGCGGGGTATCATTCCCGGAAATAAATTGAGGCTTGGAAATGCCATTTCCTTCACATTTTGTACGGTGTCCACGACCTTTAAAAATCCTGCAAAACATTTGAATTTGTAAAAAGAAAATCCAGGTTTGGAAAGTCCGCGAAAATTAGTAAAAGTGGAGTCCTACAACTTTTTCCAGCTGTGCGGATAACCTGGAACTGTATTTCAAGGATTGATTTTGAATAAATAGTAATGTTTCAAAAAAGGAATTTTAGGTTCTTAAATTGACTGGAAAAAAGCCTTGAAGGTCCTGGAAAAGTTCTCAAATTTCTAGCCTTCGAAAGAAGGCCTTCGCCTGGAGTTACTATTGGGATAAATTACATGAACTTTTATACTAAGAATATAAAAGCGATCGCGTGATAAAAATAAACCAATTAGATGGATTTTGTCAAAACAATGTAACTGTATAAACAAAAAATTTAAATCACATTACAGTATATATTAAATTAATACAAGCATACGGAAAAATGCAGCAGATACAACCAATATATTTGGTTGTATTCTCCTTATATTTTCAGTTAGTTCCATGCCCACCAACAAAACTTGTTCCTACCTTGAATCCTCATATTCTGAGTTTCGCCACCCGAACGTCTTTGCTAAACGGTTGATATTTGCACCCAATACAAATATTTGCTTCATAATTGGTTATGCATAGTCAGTTTAAATGATTTGTTTGGGGGGGCTAATATCGCAAGCAAATTAGGATAGTAGAACTAACTGGTGAAAGAGAACGCTCCCATAATTTCAATATTTAGATATAATTAAATATTGGAAATTCATGCATGCAACAACCGCTCACCTATACTTTCGAAACATTGATTAACATGAAGTAGCCTATTAGTATTTTCCCTACAACGAACCCAGGCTGGCATTCCTCATCAAATGTTGCCAAAGCAAAACGATAATTTTTAATTTTTCAATTATATTTATTTTGTACAAATTGGCAAAAATAATTGAAATATTAGAAATTTTAATGTATTACAATACTTTTAACTATGCAAGAATGAATTTCAGACAATTATACCCGGTAGTCAAACCCCGTTAAGTAACTATGCTGCGAGCATCTCCTCGATATTAAGCTCCTTTATTATAACTAATAAATACATTTAATGATCTCACATGATGCTTAACAATGCTGGGGTTAGCATGCAGCATTACAGTATACAAATATTTAATGTTTATGAGTGCATATGACGTACATCGATATATATATATATATATATATATATATATATATATATATATATATATATATATATATATATATGTTGAGTTGTGTAATTGTACACTCCGTAATATGTTAAGTGTCTTTCGGCAAAATGTCCGGCCACCGAAAATCAACCCCCGACACCTAAAAATACAAAATGTTTCTGGGCCAGACAAGTTCCACTTTTCTCTTTCTTTTGATGACCCCTACACTGACAAGTTCTTAAAAGAGGCTCTGAATACACGACCATATCATGGAAACTGCCTGACCACCGAGGATCAACATTCAAAACTATACCTCTCCTATATTGCGTACTGATTTACATTGATTGCGTATTTCATCTTGTAACTAAAATGATCGACCGTGCGGGTTTTCTTGAGACTGTGCAATGCATGGGGATGTGTGTACCATCCACACAATCAAATGCTATTTATTTTCCTTTTGGTTAATCAATTGACTCATTTCCTGTTCTGATGAAGGAAGTGGGAAAAGGTCAGGCTTTTCAACCAAAACATATATGACCACTATATTGGTAATTTTGTTCACGTTGCCTTTTAGGCAGCGATCATAAATTTTTATATTACTGTTTTACTTTGACGCTGGGAGGGTGGGGCAGAGAGAGCCAGCTCTTAAGCTAGTTGCATGCATAGAGATTATTTGAAAACAAATATTTTCAAATTTATATAATATAAAATTTTAGAGATATATAGTTTAGAAATTTAACTGTACATGTTGTACTTGTCTTTCTCACAGGCGAAGCCATCAATATCTGTCCCACAAAGGAGATTACAGCATCCAGGGGACAGATTAGGTCGCCTAACTATCCAAGCAACTACTGCTCACACACTGATTGTACCCTCACAATCAAACAGCCCTTGGACACAAACTTTACTTTCACTTTCACCAAGCTTGATATTGAGAGTGATCATAATGACGGTAGGTAACATAATTTATGTTAAACTTTATGGAATGTTTTAAATCTGCGCAGCTAATTGGGAAACTCCGACGACTGAGATTTGCATGTAATAGGCAATTCCAGCTTTAAATTTATGCGCGCAGGGGGTGACGGGAAGTAAGGTATCATATTGCTGATTAGGAAGAAAAAATAAAAATGGCGGCCGTGTAAACACGGAGCTGCTTAAAATACTTGTAAATATTGGATTATTTCGGTTGTTTTTTTTGTTTATAACTACTCCAAATGGCTGGTCAAGGTATGTTTTGGTTGTTATTGATGGTCTATCCGACTTAATGGATGAAATAATATGCTCAACGTCAACAAATACTTCATCTGAACCTTTTTGCGACGAAATTATTAAAACACTTCCGAAAAAAAAAGCTCGAGGTGGTGGTACAGCTTGTTGTGTCCCTGCTTGTAGCAATAGTACGAGACGAAATCCATCCTTGTCTTTTCACAGATTCTCTAAAGACCAAACGTTAAGAAATACATGGATAGATAGGATTGAACGGAGCGAATTCACGCCAAACGACCATCATCGTGTGTGTTCGGAACATTTCCCTGATGGCAAAAAGACCTACTTAAACAACATACCAACCGGTACCCATGTAGATCAAACGCCAAACCTGCTTCATCAAACAACAGTTCTCGCAGAACTAAGCAATAACACAAACCAAATTAACATTGCAATTGAAGTGGATAAAGTCAACGAAGTACAATCAATACCGCAGCAAAAAATATCGAGCTAATTGAGGAGAATATTCAGGATAGAGTACAACGTCTAGAAGATGAGTTGGCCAACTTGAAAGAAAAGTATGAAAGGGATACCACTTCACTTAAAGATGATCTTAAACGCAAATCATTCTCAATTGACCGTTTTAAAAGCTCTGATACTCACTTTGAATTTTACACTGGTTTCCAAAATTATGACAGATTCAAAGTTTTTTATAATTTCCTTAGTCCTGCATGTACGAGACTATCATATAGAGGATCCAACAATGGCAAGATTGAATCTGCAGAGCAGCAAAAACGTGGCCGCAAACGATTCCTAAGCCCAGAGGAAGAATTGTTTCTTGTTCTTACCAAATTAAGATGTGGTTTGCTTGAGAGAGACCTTGCTGCAAGATACAACATTTCTGTGTCACAAGTCAGTAATATATGGATAACTTGGCTGGATTTCCTATATCAAAGATTACAATCGATTCCTATTTGGCCTTCCAGAAAACATGTTGATGCTACAATGCCAGCAAGTTTCAAGGAAAATTTTCCACAGACAAGGGTAGTCATTGACTGCACGGAGATGTTTATTGAGATGCCATCTGCACCAGTTACTCAAGGAGTCACATTCTCCTCATATAAGCACCACAATACTGCTAAAGGACTTGTTGGCATTTCACCTGCAGGAACTCTCACGTTTGTGTCAGAACTTTATGCTGGGAGGACATCAGATAAAGAGCTAACAAAGGATTGTGGGATTCTTAAATTGCTAGAGGAAGGAGATCAGATTATGGCAGATAAAGGTTTTCTTATTGAGGATTGTCTGCCAGATGGAGTCACATTAAACATCCCCCCTTTTTTGAAAGATCAGAATCAGCTATCCATTGAAGATGAGGTGAAGACAAGGAGAATTGCTAAGGAAAGGATACATGTGGAGAGAGCAATAGAGAAGATAAAAAAATTTCAGAATTCTACAGCATGCGCAGGTAATATCTCTAAGTATGGCAGCAGATATCAACAAGATATGGATTGTTTGTAGCTACCTTACCTTATTTTTTAAACCTCTTGTTGTGTCAGCTCAATCTCATTGAGTGCATGTTGAATTTACTCAATAGTTACATCTTCTGAGTAAATATTTTAACCCATTAGGTCCAGTGCAATTTATTTGGTCATAAAACTAATAGCTGCCAATTTTTGGGTTTCATATGACATCACAAAGGTGACGAGGAGTCAACTCGAAAACAAAACACAGTTATCACAGTAAGTTGATTGTTTGTTTTATGTATTAGCTTTATGTTTGGTGGCAAATATATGGAATTTCGTATCAGGGTGTTAGCCAGGATTTCCAAAGTGGCCGTGCAAAATAATTTTGTGGCCGTGGCAACATATTGTTGTGGGCGTGGTCACATGTTTTGGGCGTGGCCACAATTTTCTGTTGTTGAGGAATTGTGGTGTTTTATTCGTTGAACCTTTTTACTTTTAGTTTTAGATGCACATTCCGTCATTAAATTAGTAAAAGTACATGTATGATATGATCACTACCATAACTGTAGCATGGCGCTCGAGCGATAAAGTGATTGCTGTTTTTCAAAAAAGCAGTTTCACATTATTCCCCTTGATACTTCATGCGAGAATCATTAAAATGGTTACAAAAACATGGCATGTTTTACAAAAATATGGCGAGAAGTATTCAAGAAATATTACAAAGCTAGTAGGTTGCTATTTAAAGAAAATATTCTCTTAGGCCGTCCATGACCGTCCATTAAAATTTAGCCGTCCAAATTCAGAAGTGGCTGTCCATAGGACGGTCGGACGGCCGCCTGGCTAACACACTGTTTCGTATCATTTTCTCACTCCAGTACAGAATAAACATTAATACATTTGAGGCTGACCACCCGTCAGATGCACTGCATAATGCCATAGTGAAACCCCAGAATAGAAGCTTTAGGTAGATTTTGTGTGTGCATGAAAAGACAATTATAAGTAATAGCATGGCTTGAGGGAGATTAGTGATTAAATGGCCCCGTAACCCGAGGCAGGTTTGCGAATTCCGCAAACCTGCCGAGGGTAAGGGGTCATTTAATCACTAATCTCCCGAAAAGCCATGCTCTATTAGTTTGTAATAGCATAGTTGCGCTCCCATTTAAAAATGGACACTGAAACATGCCCTACTTGGAATCAGCGTATTTAAGCTAAAACATTTGCTTCATTGCTTGTGGGATGTAAAAGCTTGTTGCACATGCGCACTTTTTACGATTTAATCGGTTACGCATGCGCAATCTATCATTTAACGTACCACAACAAAAACGCTAAATATATTAGTATAAATTTGGAGACTGCACGTGCATAATTTAAATGATGCAGCAACTCAGGGATCGGATGATAGACTATTGACGGCTCTGAGCTAACTGTTGCTGTTCCTTGCACGATTATGTGCGTGTGAGGCACTTGCCTAATGCGTAGTCGTCAGGGAGACAAAGGTGTGACCCTTGGTAACGGGCGATTAGTTCTAATAATTCTATTAGTCTCGGCCTATGCTGGACCATGAATCTATTGTAATAAATTTCATAATGTAAATACTATGGCCCAATGTAATATATAGAATTGTTTATTAGAATATTATATTGAGTACCAGTAATGTTAAATATATTTACAATATCAATAATTTATTGAACAAATTTACTATTTATTAACAATATTCACTGAATTAATTTATTTAATAAGCTTTTGTAATAGATTAATTTAATATAAATATTAAATATAACATAAATTATAATTTATTTTATTTAATATCAGTACGATTTGATTTATATCAAATATTGAAAATAGAAACGGGTAAGCTTTGGTAGCATGTTGCTTTCCAAGTTTTCTTGATCAAAGTAAACACGTTCTATGTGAATATCTTTGACCGTATATACAACAAAATCTATCCAACTTAATTGGCAAATTGCCATAATTCCTTGTAATTGAAAGGAATAGACATGCTTTCTTTTTAACACAGGTTTACCTTCTAAATAGTGAAGATAAAACTTTCCATCTTCACATGCTTCACTTATAGTTATATCAATTTTTGACGAAGGACATTTGATCTCTACTGCGCCATACGGAGATAATTCCTGGGAGCTGCAAGCCAGTGCATCTGGGCTAGCACCCAGCCATGGCCATTTAGGATTAATTACCAGACCAACAGATCCACAAACCTGTATGGGAATATTTTCAGATTCTTGTTGCTCATAATATTTTAAAAGTGCATTTGATTCATTTTCACGGCCCCATAGACCAATTGCGAAACTTAGTGGCCGCGCCTTCATACTGCACGAGAACGAGGCTTATTATGCAAAAACAAAACAATTTCTATATTTTTATATAGCGAAAAGTGAATTTTAGGGGTTTTAAAGTGTTTTTTCTTGAATCTCTTTGATCTTTTCTTAATATTTCGTGCTAGGTTATATAAATTTTTGTTAAATTTATCTAAACATCGATTTCCCACCATATTTTTACTCGCTTTGGAAAGATATTTCGTTGTTGTTTTAGCATGCGATAGAACAAACATATGGAAAAGATCAATCTAGACTTTAAAATCTGATCAAAATGCAAATAAAATAGCCAGTATAAATTAACAAACTAAAATATAACTCTTTCTACCCTGATTTTTTTAGACTTTGTGCGAGAAAAAAACGATTTTGTCAAAGGAAAATAACATAAAATTTCTACAAATTTTGCCCGACATTTACTTTCATATTTTTAAAGTTAAAATCGAAAACTTGCTATTATATTACAACTGAAACAAAATTAATCAATGTTACAACTTATTCTTTGAAATGTATTAATAAAACAGACGGAAAATACCTGATTCTTTCTCTGGTATAATCTGCTTCTTTTATCGGACGGCCAAAAACAGCAAAACTTTGCCTCGCACGCCGCGAAAAACAATGAAATTTGAAGTAAGACTAAATCTATGAACAAGTTTAATAAAGATTTACATAGTCAAAACAAAAATATTTAAAAAAAATGAAGAGATTACCATAAAAACGCGTCTCAAACACTGAAATTCATTTTTCCCCATATAAAAGTATAGCAGAATGATTTGTTTTTGCATAATAAGCCTCGTTCTCGTGCAGTATGAAGGCGCGGTCACTAAGTTTCGCAATTGGTCTATTTGCAGCTTTTTGAAAATGTTGCTGTACTAGAGGAATTCCGTACTTTTTCAACAATTGTTTTGGGGTAAATTGACTCCCTTCTGTTCATTACTGATCCAAAGTTTGATGATGTCAATCGCTGCTTTCGCTCAGAATACCACTCTGGACAATCTGCTTGATCTCTAGTGTTTCTCTCAATATCTTGGCTTTTCTTCAAATCAACAGTCAGGTTTTTCATTTCTAGTTGTGCAAGTTCAGTCTGAGAAAGAATATTACAATCTAGAGTTTCAGTAAGACCATTAAGAACAGTAACTCTGACGTTTTCTGAATTTACACCACTGATCACTTTTCTTTTAGATTCAATTCTTAATTTTGATGGTAAGTTGTTATGCCAAAGTTCATAATCGAAAGGATTGCAGTCATTATCATCAAGCACACCAACAAGGGGAGAGTTTATATCATTTTCAGCAAGACCATCATGCAGTCTTTTTATATCTTCATTTAAAACCTTTTCAGCAAAGCTAGGTGCTGCTTAATATCCTTCCCGTTTGCCTTTGACAAGAGGTCGTTTTCTGCCTTTCCTGTCTTTTTCAAAGCCTGCTTGCTCAAAAAGTAAATCCTCAAAAAGAGCAGCACCTTTCATTTCGTTCCCAGTTGCAGGTACATTCCACTTTTGCAGTTTCTCGGTACAAGATATATCATCAGGCACTTCAAACAGCTCAAGTTCTTTAAATTCCAATATTTGAAACAGAACTGCTGCTACATGTTTACAAACACCTTCCTTTCCTGCTGGACATTGACACTTCGCATAACAAACATTTCTGCAAGATATGTACATAAACTCTGCAAGATATGTACATAAACCATATACTCAATCTTCTTCATTTGAGCGTTCACCCTAGCA